TTTGTATGGGCAAAATGTAGAAGAGCAGTTCTCTTTTGCTAGTAAGTCCCATTTCATAATTATTATAATTTTATAGTGCAAATAAGATTAGAAAGACTGATTTTGTAGACAGAGCTTCTTTGGCTTTCATTTAGCACTGACATACACTTAGTGCGTAGAATGAAGCATTAATGTTTCCTTTTACACAGCTTTAGTTTATAATAACAAGGATGGGCGACTTTGGTAGGTCTCATACTTAGATGGTGATTTTCTTTCCCTGTTCTCATTGCTTTTAGTTGTTTTGGGTTTATCATCCAGTGGTCTTAGTACCTCAGTGTCCATAAGTAGAAATCAAAGACAAAGCTTTGGATATGAATCTTTATGTTGGCTTTACTCCTAATAGAATATCAACCTTAGTTAACCAGTTTTAGAAAACTTTAAATTATCTTTTCCTCTTTTTAATTTGAAGCATGATCTAGTCTACCTCTTTCGTTGATACTTACAAACAAACAGGTTTTATTTTTTTCTATTTTTGCTGAACAGGCACATGTTTCTGATTTTATTAAGAAATGAACCTTGACTTAGTATTAAGAGGAGTTTGTGCACTGTGCCTTTATTGTCACAGTTTTTTCCTCACCAAAGTTCTTGGAAAGAAGTTTTCCAAAAATCTAAGGACAAACTAGTTATTAATATGGAGAATTACTTAATCTTTTCTGTTCATTGAAAGGAAATTTAATGACTTTTTTCTGATTTTGTTTGGTTTTGTTTTGCATTGTAAGAAGCTTTTGCTGAGCTTCATTTTGCAGGTCAAGAGTTTGGAGGAGTCTGTTAGCTGGCTACATTTATGCCTGTGAGTGTCCTTTGGCTCCACTCTGATTAGGAGCAATGTTTTCTTAAGATTAGTTTCACCATGTTTGATTATTTATTCATCCTATTTTTAACTGATTGTGGTTTGTTAAGTGTTTCAATTTTCATTGACTTTTTTTTTAATGGAAGGTTGTTCTTAATTTGGATCACAGCAATAAAATCTTTTGACTTAGTTTTCAAAATTGCATTTAAAGCTTGAATTTTTGTAAATAATTTTATTTGAAGTGAAGATGATTGGATATAGATTGTAGGATGAGAAAAATAAATTTGATATTCTTTTTACTTATTCACAGATGGATGTAAGATTTATTTGCATGAAGAAAATCATGATTTTATTACATTCCAGAACCTGCTTCTGTTTGTTAGAAATAATCGTCTATACTAAGTCTTATAATTGACTACAGTGTAATTTTAAAATTGTGTTTCACATTCTCAAACCTTAAAATTGTGTTTCACATTAAAATCCTCAAGAATATGCTTACATTTTAGTATAGTTGAAATCAGTTCATGAAATATCTGTCCTTGCCAACGACCACAAAAGAGGTCTTGGTTGTGCGGTTTCCTCCTCGTTTTGCCCTCACTAACAGAGGTTTTCCTATCTTGGCCACGGTTTCCTACAAAGCAGTCATCAGTCTCTGATTTCTTCCTTCCCTTTCTTCCCACAAACAAGGACTCTTTCAAATAGCAGATGACTGAAGACAGACTGATCTTGGATCGCTTTAAGAAAGTAGAAATGTGTTCAAGAGTTGTGTGCATGTAGGCAGGCAGCCTGTATGCATGTCATTGAAACGAAAATACTCATTACAAGCAGAACTTGGACAGTCAGAATTCTTTGATCAAATCAGGAGCAGTCCAGAGGGTGACTTAATTTTACGTGTACTAATTCTGACTGCTTGATCGGATCATTGAACAATATGGAGGATATAAGAAGTTGTTTCTTGATTAGCCTTTCCAATATGACAGGTCATGAAATTATCTGACTTCTCTTTTTTCTTTCTCTTTCTAAGTTTTTTATCATCTACATTTTATTTATTTTTTATTTAAATTCAGTCAGCCAATGTATAGTACATCATTAGTTTTTGATATAATGTTCAATGATTCATTACTTGCATATAACACCCAGTGCTCATGCCCATCAGTGAGTTACCCCAGCCCCCCACCCACCTCTTTCTGCAGCCCTCATTTTGTTTCCCAGTCAAGAGTCTCATATGGTTTGTCTCCCTCATCTTTTCCTGTTCAGTTTTCCCTCCCTTACCCTATTGTCCTCTGTGCTATTTCCTATGTTCCACATATGAGTGAAACTGTATGATAATTGTCTTTCTCTGATTGACTTATTTCACTTAGCATAATACCCTCCAGTTCCATCCATGTCGACGCAAATGGTAGATATTCATCCTTTCTGATGGCTGAGTAATATTATTAGATGTTCCACAGCGGCACGTATGGACCATGCTGGTTCCATGGTTCCATGTATCCTAGAGTGAATCTTTGCTTACTTCCCTATCATTTCCTTAGGCTAGATTTCTAGAGGTATCTCAAGGAAGACACACATATTTAAACCTCATATTACATATCGACAAATTGTTTTCCAGGAAGATTCAGCCTGTTTAGCTCTTGCTCTGAGCGAAGGATAATTTCCTTTTTACCTTTGCTGATGGAACTCTCCAACTCTGGCCAGAGTTCCATATTATCTTGAGAAAATATTTGCCAATTTGATGAGTTAATAAAAGATATTTTGATTAGCATTTGTTTGATTAGTAGTGGATTATTTTTTAATATATTCTTATTCTTTTGTGAATGCTTTGTATAAAATAGCTTTCAGTTTTAAGGCAGGTCCTTTGCCACTGCAGTTGTAAACTGCAGGTTTATTTGGGTTTTGTCTTTTGAGTTAGTCTTTGGGAGTTAAGTGTGAAAAAAGAATAGAAGCCAATTCTACAAGGTTGTGTGCCATGTTCCCCATCAGATTAATTTTTGATATATCATTCTTTTTATATTTTTGGCATTCAGTAGAGGAAGTTTGTTCTTTCCTTTATTTTATCTTATTTCTTTAGGCATAGAATCATCTGAAGTGTTCTTAGAATTGGGTAATACCATTTCTGACCCCTTCATCATGGTACCTAAATGTCTTCAGTAGTTTCAAAGAGACCTAAAAAAATTGGGCTGTTCTGGGTCATGGAGGGATGTATAGAGAAGCAGTTTTATCCTGAAACTGTAGGCTTGATAAAACAAACTGCTTATTACGGAAATACCTTGCTAGTTTCATCTGTGATTTTGTGGATCTTTATATTTAAACACTAGATAATAGCTTCAGATTAATTTTTTTACATTCTTTTTGGTGTGGTTGTCAGTGAAGCAAGACAGTGACTTTGTAGGGCGGTAAGTGTTCCAAACTATTTAGAATCTGACTGCTTTTCCATTGAAGTTACATCATTGTGAACTGATAATAGAATATAGTAAACTGATAATAGAATCATATATGATACATGAAGCATGTAGCAAATGCAGAGTAGCTCAGATAATGTGAAAGAGAGAACTTCAGAGTTATTTAGGAAAAGTTTTCTAAATTTTCTTTATGCTTTCATGACAGCATCTAAATTATGAGTTCCTTTTTTATAGATACAACTTCAGAATGAGAGATATCCCCCCCCATGGCCCCACTTTAAGAACTCTTTACCTGCAGCAGTTTAAGGGTAGATTGAGAGAACTTGGTAAGAATATTATTTAGAAGAAAATTACAGGAAGTTAATATGAAGAAACTGTTAAGATATCCCTTTAGAGGAAAATTTTGTAGTTTTTCTACCCTCAAGGCTAGACCAGGAGGCTGGATGTATTTGAGAACTGTCTGCATTTTATGTGTATTGTAAGGCTAGTATTTACTCTGATTCCTCATGTTAACCTAGGAAGTGAAACACTTCAGTAGAACCTAGCAAATAACCTGGTCTTATGTCCTAGGAACTGAGAAATTCGATTAAGTCATGCTCCTGAAGTTTTTGTATCCTCTCCAGTTGAAGAACCGGATTCTTAAGGGCTAGTCAGAATTAAAGTTGGTTCCAGGGCGCCTGGGTGGCTCAGTTGGTTGAGCGACTGCCTTCGGCTCAGGTCATGATCCTGGGGTCCCGGGATCGAGTCCCGCATCGGGCTCCCTGCTCAGCGGGGAGTCTGCTTCTCCCTCTGACCCTCTTCCCTCTCATGCTCTCTCTCATTCTCTCTCTCTCTCTCTCTCAAATAAATAAATAAAATCTTTAAAAAAAAAATAAAATAAAGTTGGTTCCAGGTTTTATATTTTTTACCCCTCTCCCAGTTTTTAGAAAAATAGTGTTACAACCTTGGAGATACAATCATCATGGTCTTGGAGTTTTTATTTGGGTCTAGTGGATGGACCAACCTGCTCAAGAATATAGGTTTAATCTTACTAAGTTATACTTTGCTGTAAAAAAAAAAAAATATGAAAATCTAAAACTTTAAAATGAAATAGTTAAGAGGCCCTTTATTAAACTGCTCCCTCTATGAATAACTATAGCAATTTGATATGTAGTGTTTAGGAATGTGGTGTTTTGGGAAAGCCATTATTATATAAATGTACATTATTATATTAATGTACACCCATGTGTTAAAAATTGTACATCCTTGTGTAGAAAAATAAACTGCTTAATTATATCTCTAATCTGTCCTGCAAGATAACAGGATAAAATAGTAGATAATATTGCTGTTACCATCACTAGAAACAAACAAAAAAAGTATATGTATTTATAAATTTTTTTAGAGGCAATATAGACCAAAGCTAGTAATTTGATAAAAAGACTGATATGTGGCGTAGCGAGACAGATGTATTGTTCTAGAATGACTTCCTAAGCTTTTCAAAGAAAAAAATCATTAGGGATTTATATAGCTGTTCTATGAATTCATATGTATGGTTATCTATAAGTGTTTTTTGAGCTTTGATCGTTTTCTTTATATTCTTTAAGGCTCAGATATCCAGTATGTAGGAGCAGCTCCCATATTGGATATAGAATCAAAATATATACCATTTATTTTTTTTATATTTAGGAGATAGAGGGAGGCATGGAGGGAGAGAGACACTTATTACTACTTTTGCATTTTTTTGTGACGTAACAGAACCATAAGAGTAAATGATGGATTTGTTTGTTTTTCAGATATGAGGATCAATGATGCAGACTGCTGGGTTCGATGAAGCTGGGCATTTATAACTAGATTCATTAAGGAATACAAAGAAAATATTTAAAGGAATCAATAATGGTGTCTTCTGGTTGCAGAATGCGAAGTCTGTGGTTTGTCATTATAATCAGCTTCTTACCGAATACAGAAGGTAAGATTTAATTTAAATTTTATTTTTCAAATCTGGGTGAATTTAGTTTAAACTATGCAATCTTCTGTATGTAGAAGTGGCTAGAATGAGTTTTATTTTAAAAATTAGCTGTTAAAAAGATTTCCCGAATGTCACATTCTTTTTTTGGTGGCTGAATTTATTTTCACTACACACAGCTATTGTATGGAAGAAAGTGCTAGAAGTCTGAATTTATGTTTCACATAAACCTGTAAAATATTATTGTTAATAATCCTGAAAGAAGTAAATGAAATCTTTGCTTTGGTATATATTTTACACTTATTGACTAAACTTATTCCAGTAAAATTGAGAGTATTTCATGTCACTTTTTTTACTTCATCTTTAGTTTGTTTGCTTCTTAAGTGGAGTCATAGTTTGGTTCTAAAACTCCTAAATAAAGTTTTTTCATATCTTCTGGAAATTTTTTTTTTTTTTTTTTTGTAGTGCTTCCTTTTGAATGTTATTTATCTCTTTTGGGAGATGGACCTGACTTTTAAAGAAGTTAAATACACTTTTGAGGCTTAATGAAATAATCGGAACCATCATTTACTAATTACTGTATGGATTTCTTGGTATCTGTTACTTCTTTAGTCTTACGTATTATTTCCATGTGAAAATAACACCCTTTCAAGTGCTTTTTATAGAGCAGGTCAGAAGTTAATATGGAGCTAAGATATGTTAATTTCATAGCTACTTGATAGTGGTAGTTATGTATTCAGCGTGAAACTATATTAATCTTGTAAAATCTGTGAAGAATACAAAAATCTCTGAGAAATGCATGGATTTTATTTGTCCCAATTAAATATTCTTGAAGAAAATATTTTAGAATTTTTAAATTGGTTTTATATGTATTTTTAAGTGGTCCTATTTAAACCTATTAATAAAATGATAGGTGGAGGAGAAAGGCAGCTGTCAACTAATAGAAGTTTAAACATCTTTGTAATAAGCTTCAGTGTTAACATTTTAATTTTGCTGAATTTTATTTGAATTGCTATTCCAAAATCATATTTCATCATTTTCTTCTTGCCTCCCCAGCCCCCTACTTTCAATATATTGACATAACTTGATAATATAATTCAAATAAATGACAAATTTAGAAATATTTTAAAACAAATACTGTATTCAGAAAGTAAATAATGTTCACTTGGATTTAAGTCAAACTTGAAAGTTACAAATGGGTTAATACTCTATTTTTAGAAGATAGTGCTCTTCGCATCAGAATTGAGAGATACATCAAATCTAACAGTAAAATGTAATATGTCTGAATGAATAGTACCATAATGATAAACAAGCAGAAACTGAGTTTAAGAATATGAATCTCTGGCTTAGATTGTTATGAAAATCTTGTGTATAGTCTATAATTTTGCATCTGGTTTTTTTTTGGGGGGGAAACTAACTAAATTCCTGCTGTTATGTTTGAATGTTTTTATACACTTAAAAAAGATTCCAGGTGTGGACCAATGGCTCATTAGTCCACATAATGAAAAAATTTCCAATCAAGAGAGACTACTTTGCTGGCACAGTAGCTTAACTCAGCGGGGGGGGGCTAGCAAACAGAGACTTTTTCATGAGATACTGCAGTTTTATTTCTAGTGTCACCTATCAGGTCAGGATTCATATCTGCCGTTAAGAGAAATTTCATTTTTGGCGCATCAGGCCAGGGGGTGTTGCTTTTGAAGCAGTTGCCTCCTACGGGTAAAAAGAACCTGGGAGGAATCACATTGCTCTCTGTGAGAGTAGTCACAGTTCATGCAAACTGTTAGAATACTGATCCAGCTCACATGGTTTTTTGTCTTAGAAAAGTTTTACAAGACATGATAGTCCTTTATTGCCAGAAAGCAGATAATGTTCTGTGAACACCTATAGAGAAAAGCAATCAAAGTTAGGTATGAGAACACAGGAAAGGAGTTAGAAATTCAACCATTCAGCCGTTAAGTTTCTTCAGAGCCCCTACATGGTGGTTACCTTTTCAAATCTTACAGAGATGAGCACTTTTTGTATTAGTGTCTGGATTCTTATAGGTATAATTTAGATAAAGTTTCCTAGGTAGGTTCTTCCTTTCTCATTTATTGAGTGTTGAGCCAGGTGCTTAGGATTCTGAAATGCATAAGGCACAGTTCCTGCTCTTGAGGAGCTCATGGCCTTGTGCAGGGTCAGAAACCACAGGTACCTACTGGGGCCAAGCAGGCCAAGTAACTTCAATGCAGCAGGCCAGTCAAGGTCTGCAGTAGGCAGGGAAATGCTTGCCAGAGGACCCATGATTGCCACGCCAGCATTTAGACTTGTTTTGCCAGCCTTCTGACTTTCCAGTAGAAATCAAATGTGGATTTTAAGTAGTAGCTAATTAAGATCAAAACAAAACGGAACTAGCCTGTGTATTATATTTAGTGATTGACTTGCCTTTTTCAGAGCTTTTATTTTCCCTCCTTTTTACATTAGTGTTTCACTTTAGTATATTATTATAAAGGCCAAACATAATTTTGGAGTTATTTTACATCTATACACATGAGAGGTAAATTTCCACATTTGCAAGGATTTACTTGTTTTATGTTCAGAGGAACATTAAATATGTCATGTTTTGTGTACACAGTAAAGAGCAAACTACTAAACATTTTTTTAAGTTTTTACCACAGTAAAATCTAATTATATAAAGTTTTAATTGTTAGAATTAGCTTCTTTCCCTTTATCTCTTACTCTGTCAACTCGTATTGAACAATCAAATCTCACCCCTTAAATTTACTTGTTTTTGCAAAACAAGAACAATGTTTTATTTATTCTTAGAGTCTCTTTTCCCCTGTGTATTTTTGAAAATTGCTTTTAGAATTTCCAAATAAAAAATGATTATGAAAGATCAGACTTTCAAAATATTTTGTAAGTTTTTCTTAGAATTGATTTTATTCCTACAGAACTAATCTCAGACCCTTCAAAAATCAGTTTTGTTGAGAAACTGGTGTGCTTTGATTCTTTTGGCCAGTTTTTATGGGTAGAGTAACCACTGTGGAATCATGTATCAGTAAGTAGGAAAGTAAATTGAATTTTTGTGTCCTAGAGAATTAAATTATGCTATATAATGGAGCCCTGGCAAGCATAAGTCAGACATGTGAAGGCTTGCTCAAGTGACAAGTTACAAATAATAGCAGTTCTTCAGCAAAGTCGGTTTTAAAATGGGTTTCAGGTTGAATTCTTTATGCAGTGAGTATTTAATTAGATTTCAGTAGTCAAAATTTTAGTTAATTAGTTCAAATTACATTGTTGTTTATTCTTATTTTTAAAAAAAATGTTATAGGGGCGCCTGGGTGGCTCAGTCGTTAAGCGTCTGCCTTCAGCTCAGGTCATGATCCTGGAGTCCCAGGATTGAGTCCCGCATCGGGCTCCCTGCTAAGCAGGGAGTCTGCTTCTCCCTCTGACCTTCCTCCCTCTCATGCTCTCTACCATTCTCTCTCTCTCTCTCTCAATAAATAAATAAAAATCTTAAAAAAAAAAGGCAGTGGTGAGCATGGTGGTGGAGATAAAAAAAAAAAAAATCAATGGAGAACAGCATGGTATGAAATAAAGTACTGTAGTGGTACTTAAAAGCACCAGAATCACCTAGAAGGTCTGGGATGGGGCCCAAGCATTGCATTTCTGACAGATTTGGGGGATGATGTGGATGTCCCTCAGCATCACACTTAACCATTGTAGTATTGTATATGTGGGGGTGTTTGAGGTGAGGTGTAGAGATGAGTGGATATGGATATAAAGTAACTTTTTTGAAAGTGTTTTTGAAAAGAAATTATGATTTAATTCACTGTGATTCAGGAAGAGTAACCAGTTGATTACTAGGAGTTACTATCTGTATCTTTTCATATGGCTTTTTATAACCCCTGATCAGGCTTCTTGGTCATAATTTTAGGCTCTAAAAAGGGATTTTTTTCCCACTCTTTCTCGACAGTGTATTGAGAAGAAAAAAAAAATGGAAAACTTGGCTCCAGATTGTAAAAAACAGGACATATTTTCTGTAAAGAGTAAATGTTATATTTTCAGAGCTCCTAAACCCTTGCTTCAATTTGTCTCTTCATTGTGATAACCTTGTTCTTTTTCTTGTTGGGAATAACTACATGGCCGTTGCTATGAAAATGCTGAATTGACTTACTGTAGGGACTTGAGATTTCCCAGTCTAGCAAAATTGACTATTTTTGTTCATTTCAGTATATTTTTGTTTAGTTGAAAGCTAGGAAGTAAATTTTTAGCAAGGTATGTGGCGATTTGGCCGTATGACTCCTATTAAACTTAATGGGAGTCACAATTCCCATTAAATTAATAGGAATCTTATAGCATATCTGTGTTGGCTGCATAGCAAATGTCACCTTATTTTTTAAATTCACAAATTATGTAAATTAACATTGGTTTAAAACAATGCATTTTTTTAAATAATGATTTTGTTTATACATTTAGTGCAGATCAGTGTGATTTGACTCCTTGAGAAAGTACCCAACTATATTGCTCTTAGGACACTTTATTGTATTATATGACTGTAATGTAATTTGATTGCAGCAGCTTTCCTCTGCATAGGTAGTGATATAATTCAGTCTTAAAAATATAAATATTAATGCCATTTACAAATTATAGAATGTTGCATCTTGTAAAAACCAAATGCATTATTGTATTACTATCAGGATTTAAGAATAAGGTTTATTTGTTCAGAATATGACTCAAAATTGAAAAAAATAAGACTAAACTTACTAGGAGACACTAGCATCTTTTAAAAAGTCAGTTTATTACTATTATTTATTTTTTTAATTTTTAATTTTTATTGTTATGTTAATCACCATATATTACATCATTAGTTTTTGTACTATTTTTTTAAAGATTTTATTTGACAGAGAGAGAGACAGCGAGAGAGGGAACACAAGCAGGGGGAGTGGGAGCGGGAGAAGCAGGCTTCCCGCCGAGCAGGGAGCCTGATGCAGGGCTTGATCCCAGGACCCTGGGATCATGACCTG